TGGTAAACAGGAATGAAATTTTAAAATGGTTTCCTGAGTGGTTTCTATTAAGTGCCCATTGGCTTACCCTGGCAAAATCCCCAAGCCACCTAAAGTCCTGAAACCCTCAGAAAATTCTGTCTTAATGTAATACCTGTGGAAAATGAAAATTATTCAGGGAAAACACACAGCCTTGTAGACATGACCTACACTATACAGTATATGTGAACTTAACTGCATATTGGCCTCCATAGCTGATGGATATGAATGATTTTTCTCCCTTCGGCAATCATTATTTAACCATTACCTTTAGCAACACAAGCCCAAGTAGTTATTTGGATCTGCATCTCCCCCCCCCCCAAAGCAAAGTAAACTAGTTCCCAGAGGAGGGCAACCAAAATGGTCAAAGGCCTGGAAACGATGCCTTATGAGGAACGGCTAAGGGAGCTGGGCATGTTTAGCCTGGAGAAGAGGAGGTTAAGGGGTGATATGATAGCCATGTTCAAATATATAAAAGGATGTCATATGGAGGAGGGAGAAAGGTTTTTTTCTTCTGCTCCAGAGAAGCGGACACGGAGCAATGGATCCAAACTACAAGAAAGAAGATTCCACCTAAACATTAGGAAGAACTTCCTGACAGCAAGAGCTGTTTGACAGTGGAATTTGCTGCCAAGGAGTGTGGCGGAGTCTCCTTCTTTGGAGGTCTTTAAGCAGAGGCTTGACAACCATATGTCAGGAGTGCTCTGATGGTGTTTCCTGCTTGGCAGGGGGTTGGACTCGATGGCCCTTGTGGTCTCTTCCAACTCTATGATTCTATGATTCCAATGATTTTGTATCAAAATCAGCTGATCAAAAGATCTTCACTTAGTCCCAACCCAAGTGGCTCACAATGACATTATCTTCTTTTTCACCTCAAACTCTGTTTGTAAAACAGGTGAGGCAATCACCTATAATCTTTGAGCTCAGAAAACTGCTGCCAGAAGTGCTGTAAACAAAGCTCCTTTGCTACATCTGAGTAAGACCTGACCTAACCCCCCCCCCAAGATTTTAAGGTCTTTGATCCTTCTCCTCTTACCCTGCTCTTATCTCCTCTCAACCCCAACAGAGGGAGGAGGCATAAGAGCCTATTTTTGAAGAAGACAGAAGCAGCAGCAGCAGCAGCATAATCCTCCCATGAGGATCCACTGATTTCTGCACACCTATCTTCCTGAAAATGAGCTGCATCCTAATTCCCTTCCTCAGAGAAAAACTTTCAGCAGTCATTCAGCCATGGAAAGTAAGTGAACTTTTGCACAGTTGCCAGATGTGTACAAATACATGATATTACCGATTTGGCATTTTCTAATGCATTATTTAAAAACCAACCCACAATTCTAAGCATCCTTTTTGACGTGATTGTCCACATAGTGTAACATGACCTGGGAAGCTATAGTCAATTGCTTCCCAGCCTGTATACATGCATGTAGGATCACCATGTAGTATTTTTGTCAAGGCTGATAGGATTCTCTTTCATTTCCCCCCTGCTACAATCAATCTCTTATACCATCGCAGCTGAAAACATTTTTCTCTCATTATGTCAGCTTTTTAGCTTTACCCCCTTCTGCTATTATTTAGTCTTGAAAATTTTCAAGGAAGAGAAAATCATCATGTTTAAGTATGCCTTTTAATCAGAATGATTACACAGGAATTTTCATTCTTTTTAAATAATTTAAACATGTACCATCTAAGAGACTTTGACCCCCCCCCCGCCGGTCCATTGCCCTAGTTCAAATTTAATTTCAAGGATTCTAAAGGAGGGGTAGTCATTCCCTTACTTTTGCTGCTTAGCAATTTTCTCTTGGATGCTTCTCTTGATATCCTTGCTTTTTAATTTTATCACATTATGCTAAGGATTGATTCTATGAAAGTAATGGAAAATGCTACCTGAGTCTATGTTAAATGTCCTATTTTACTGGCACTTAAACTTTAGTAGGGAAGAGTGACTTCATCCAATCACATGTGCTGGACTCTTGCATATCTTGCCGTATTATATCAAATGTCTATCTGGATCCAGTAGGCTATGAATTCCTCATTGCAAGAAGAAACAGTCCCAGCCACTTTAAATGAGGTGATAATTAGATTGTCTTGAAAAACAAACTAGCCTAGACCTATTAACAAGTCCAAGATGGTCACAAATATCCTCTACCTAAGTACGGTATTTGACTGGGTGATCTACTTCTAGATTCTCATGGATAATGCTGATTTTCTATTTTAGTTGGGTTTTCTCTAATTGAGTTGGGTTTCAGGCCTGGTTTTGGAATGGAAAATGTCTTTGTTGCGCTGTGGGATGACTTTTGCCAAGAAGGGCGCAAGGATTAGTAAAAAGGAAAAGGTGAAGCCTTTTAAATTTTATTTTATCACACCTTTATAAGCACACCTTTATAGGCATATTTGTTTGGCACTTTTAAATAACTGCACCAAGTTCTTCGCCCTGGCTGGTTTTATGGTGGTTTGCATTTATGCTGCTCTGTTTATGCTGGCTTTTAGATAGTTTCTCTACTGCTGGTTTTATTGTTTTAAACTTTGGATTGTATAATAAAAATGCATTATACATCTTATACATAAGATGCTGCAAACAACTTAGTTATATGGGCAGTATATAAACGTGATAAATAAATACTATCATAAGAGTACAGACACATGAGTTGAGTATAGTACATGTGTCACAATAATACATGTGTCAGTAAGTGCAATTTGCATCTTATTAAATGTGGACTGCAAATAGAAACACCCCTTTCCCCACCTGTGTGAAGGAGGATGTCTTACACTGCTCTGTTATGTCTTATATGACTTGTCTTGTTTTCAGACTTACACTCCTGCCTAGACCTACAATTCCCTCTTCTGCTATTCTAGGGTTGGTTCAAGGATGTGAAAGGGAATTCCCATACATCTTCATTTTCAGGCAGGTAGCTCAGCTTACTTGTTCAGGTCTGGAGTGCAATTATGGTAGTCCTCATGATTCAAGGTTTGAATCAGAGCTAATAAAAATGTTTCCACTTTAAGATTTTTATAGACATGGGAATCTTTCAACAGCTACAGGCAAACATGGACACGTTTCTCAAAAGAGACTGATATGCTAACCCCAAAGAAAAATATAAATATTTCAGAAGCTTGAGGAACATTTTGAGGCTCAGCTCAAAAATGAAAATAAGTACAGACTACTCCTCAAATTGCACTCCCTTTCTAGTCTCTTTCTCCTGCTGGACCTAACCATCCCTTCCTTGTTCTTATGTTTATTTTCTTTTAACATTTCCTTTTTCCTGTTGTCTCTGCTTGGCAGCAGACACATAAATTATCTACTTGAATGGCATCTTTCTTTTCCTCAATTCTCTCCTGAACAATAAGCCCCCTTAGGATGAAATATTTTAAAAGGAGCCAAGTTCCTAGAACTTGGAAGCTAAAGAAGAAACGAAAGCCAATATACCACCTCATCTGCAGATTGGTAAACTTCCAGAATTTTCCACTCTAGTATTCTTCTTAACTATGGCAATAGGACAATTAAAGTAAACCCAGACTTCTGTTTAGATCTTCCACCTTCCTACCTGGAAGGATCACAGTGATACAAGAGACAGCAATGTACAAAGGGAGATGTCAGGAGCCAAATTCATCATCCTACAGTTCAAAATCTGCACAAGCTGTACACTTTCCTTAGCACCTGGAGGATGGCAACAACACAGCCTATCCGAGAAGATACATAACTCAGAGTATTTACATAAAATTCCAGGCATGCATTTTTTTAAAGTTTTATACCATTTGTATGAATTTGTAAAAAGAATTCCAGTGTGGGAAGAAGACCTCCCACTGACACCATGGCAAAAATCCTAGACTTCTATCTTGGCTGCAAATCACAAAACGAAATACACTTTCCTCACAATGTGAAGAAAACACTGGTTTTACTTTCCTATATTTCCTTGTGTAATATAGCCAGACTTTCGTCCCTAAGATGCCCAACATAATATAATGTTTATTGCCCTAAACTGTCAGAAATTGTTTCTCTTTAGCATTCTTCTATCAATCAGATTCCAGTTGCTTAACTTCACACACAGAGACTATTCTGAAAGCAAATGTAAAACAAAATTCTCACATGAATATCAAAACATTTTCAACTACCTCTAAAAAATTGTCTATTTTTTCCTCCCAGGCCTGGTCACTATTGACATTTCAGACAGAATCATAAGTCAATAGGTACAAGCTCAACCAAGCCAGTTGCTATGGCAATGGCCCAGTGCTGTCTATATAAGTGATTAAGGCATGTCAGTTCAGCGTTGTCGGGATCTGTGTCAGAGTCAGAGTCAGTATTTGAGTCTGTCTGTGAGCTGGAGTCTGTGTTATGCCTTGAAACCGGAGCAACAGAAATACTTTGAACTTGTATATATCTATCTGTAGCTGCAAAGCCTACAAGCTGTATGTATATAAGAACATCTGGAACTGTATTACTGAAGCTTTATCTTCTGCAGCAGTAAACTGTTTTGGACCTTAAGGCACCTCTGCATGGTGACTAGAACTGGGGACAACTTCCGTTACATGGGTACCTCACCTCAGATTCCCAATATTAATGTAATATCAGCTCCTGGCTATACCCCAAGTGATCCACAAGAACATGAGATGGGCTCAAGCACCGGCTGTTCTAGTGTGTTATCAAAAGACATGATGGTATATCAACATGTTAAGTGATGCCAACAGACCATAGTGCAAACAGGTGAGATAATGGATGTTTGCTTTATTCTATTTTAGCATGCCATCACTCAGTGATTCCCTAATGAGATCCTCTGATATGTACCTACTTCCTGCAGAAACACACAAATTGCTGACTGTGATCTGAATTGTAAACTGAGTCCATTAAACAGAAAATACAAGTACCTGTCAATGTAACTCATTTCTTCTCCCCAACCCACCTAATATAAAAATGTGTTTGTTATCACTATTAACAATTGTACAATATAATACATAAGAGCAAAATAAACCCCACAATTTAGAATTACCTGTGCCTGATCAACAGACAGATTTTCATCATAGTCATATAGGCTATCCAGATCTTCCAAACCAACATCATATGTTTCAGAGTCATAAGTTACAGGACTCCTTGTAGGACCAGCCAAAACAGCATCAAAGAGAAACAAATGCATAAAAATATGTGCAATGGCCTTCATTCTTCAGCCTCCTAAAGGAAGAGAGCATATACACGATTATTAAAAATATAAATGCAAATATCATATGAAATATAATACATAGGTTATTGAATACTATTAACTAGAAATGTGATGAGCTAAGGAGTTTTATAAATAATTCGATGTGTGTGTACACAGTAATCGGTCACATGAGCCATGATGGAAATCAGGAGAGTGCAACACTTCAGAGAGAAACATTTTCAAATGATACTTATTCTATTTATACATTCTACTTCAGCATATATAATTGGAATTGTTTGTCAAGTAAACAATATACATACTTGTACAACTGGATGTATAAGGGCAACATTCCCAATTATACACTACTCTAAAAGTGATAAACTTTGGCTCCATGGTTAAGAAGTCCTGATGGGATTCACATTGCCTCCTTTGTGGTCAGTGGACATCACAGGTGCATAGCTGTGCTCCATCGCTATGTTGGTTGAGACTCTTAGTGGGGTGGTTGTACAGAGCAGGTTGAATACATTAGGAAGAGTGATCACCTGGATCCAGAAATCAGAGGATACTCTAGGCCTGCTCTCCCCACTTCCCGCTCAGCTTCTTTCAATACTTTGGATTGTATTTTAGTGTTGTGGTCTCCTGTAAGGGACTGCTACCCTATAGCATCAGGTGCTCCCCTGACAGCTAGGAGTCCAGCACATATATCTAAATAGATACAGTTTGGTTATGGGATAAAGCCAGACCCCCATATGGCTCAAATGGGACTAATCTGTTCATAAGCGTGGGCTCAGGCCACGGGATTCTGGACTAGAAGTAAGCTGCCTAAACTCTATGCTGCACAGTAACTCATCTAGTATATCCTTCCTGGTTCTGCAATGAGTGACTCCAGGTTCATGCACATGTTGTTCCAATGGGCTGAATGCAAGTTCTGGTGGCAATGGGAATGCAGCCCATGAAACTGGATTTTGAACTCACAGAGCCTCTGCACGCTTAGCATGCTGGATTGGGCTAGGTTATAACTATATTGTTCACAATTGTTTTATTGAAATCTAAAGTAGATCTGGAACACTGGTTTGAATTTTGTTTAAAATACTGGCCACTGCCCAACTAGTTAGTCACCCTTAAGCCAAACTGGAATCAATGTGCTTTCTTATTTGCAACTAACTTGTGCCAAGCACAAATAGCTTTAGTTGGATAGGAGCCATGTGGTCTGATATTCTCTTATCATTTTAAAGCAATGCACATCAAATTTTAAATACCCCTCCCCCATCCAATTTCCAGTCTTCATTGTATCATTCACATACATTGAGGGATTTATATGGGAAAAGTGTGAATACACACACACATGCGCACACTGTATTTAAACTGAGAAAGCAGCACATGACTTTTTACACATTTAGAAGCTGTGCTTAAAGAACAGCACACAGTGTATGATATTAGAAATTCATGAGACAATTTGTCTTTTGAGGTTCCCTAGACTGAAACAAACTGATATTAAGCCTCTTGAAAGAAGGCCTTTGTGAAGCAGGTTTACACATGGAGGCATGAAATTCCAATGGGAATGGTGAACAGCACAAGGCACTCATTTTTCTCTTATATACTTTCCAGTTTTTTTAGCTACCTAGAAGACATAACCTACAGCCGGCAGACTCTCTTTGCCTATAACCAAGGGTTAACTGTATTGCACTTTTCAGAACTGATTTATTTACAGTGTTAAAGGTTGGTCTAAAGAGTTGCTTTACAGATATGTTATTATGCTGATAACTTAGGAACCTCTAATACGTCAATGAACTTATTTGCAATTTTTTGTAATAAATAGTATAAGGACAGTCTAACTTGGTTATTTTTTTCTGTTTATTTATAATTCCAAACAGTGTGATGATTTGTTCATATTGTAGCTTGTACTGTTTTTACTACTGCTCATATTGTCTAGAACGTCTAATTTGCAAAGTACTGGTAGTTGACTTTTTGTTGTTGACATTCTAACAAGGAGCTCTGAAGTAAGTCCCTGATTATCTAAATGTGCAAATGTAATGCTGAAACCGAGAGACTGTGTCTTGAACACATGACTGGAGAGAGATCTGAACCCATGTCTTCCAGATCCAAAACCATCACACTACCCACTGAACTACTGTTTTGTTTTACTGGAAGAATAAGAGTTTGGACCTGGCAAAAGAGAATATTATATCATATTACTGTTTTATTATATAATTTAGATTACATTTACAAATAAAAAATTATAAACTAGTATTTTGGAGCATATTTGGCTGTTGAAGACTACATCTAAAGAAATAAAACCACACTAATCTCTCTCATATACGATATATATGTCTCTGTATATGTGTTGTATATATATATATATACACACACACACACACACACACACACACACACCTGTAAATCTGCTTGGTCCACTAAAAACTGCTTGTGAAATCTGTGTGTCTCTGTACGCCTTTTAGAGTATAAGCAAAATATTGGAACATACTGTAATTACACTGGCATCTACAAGAGCTGTCAAATATTTTGATGCCAATAATGTATTACTCTCTCACAGGAAGGTACTAAGAAATAGCCATATAAAAATAACATAAGGTACATTTTAATAATTCTAATTCTTCTCAAAATATTAAAATGCATTGCTTAAAAATAGCTTCTGCTTTTTTATATATAAAAAAATCCAGTTTGCTAATCAATAAAGAAAGAAACAGAAAACTTACCTTTGGCTCTTGCTTTCTCAAATGGCACAGAATTACTCTGAATGCAGAGCCTGTGGTATTTGACCCTAACCAATGGCAGTGGGGTGCCTGGTTTGTGGGAGGGTGGTACAGGAAGCTCTCACCCTGAGAAAATTCTTGGTGCTTAAACACCTTCATATCACAATTTCTGAAAGAAATCTAAGTGCAAAAGCTAATGATGTAACTGGGTGCAATTTGTTTTTGCAGAAAGAGGATTTTAAAACCCATTACTGCACCAGCTAATACATCATTCAGCATTTCCAAGAATAAACAGAAAGTTCTGAACACTGGAGCCTGTGTTTTTTAAGCCTAATAGTTAAAAAGGAACAACTAAACACATTGTGTACCTTTTGTTATATAAGTTTGTGTTATTATTAATGCAATTATTTATTATTTTATTATGCCAAATGAACATTTAGTGTGCAAAGTGTGTTTCAGGAAATATTTACATCCATCCTCTTAACAAGAAACTTGAAAAATACGATAATATTTTCACTAGACATTTGAGCAACTGAAGCTAAGAGGAAATGACAGGCTCAAGGCCATCCAAAGAGCTCAGGGCTCAGTCGTTTGACCCAATTATCCCCAAATTAAAACATTGCAATAACTTCAGTCTAACCACCAGAAGGATTTTCCTCTTCGCTAATTATGATGATAAATGAAACCCAGTGCAGTGCATTCCACACAATGCGTATTTTAATCCCAAAAATCGCAACTGGAAATCATTTGGTAGGGTTTCACATGTTTTACCACATTTTAGCTCCTATTGTCTCTTTGCAAGATGCTTTTCACAGTGAAACACATGCCTGCCATACTCAGAAATTGCTCTGGATTGACCAACACTGGTGCATGAGAAGATGCCAAGCAAGCGGTGTTCATTTTGCAGCCCTTGGTAGCTAGCTGACGTTCCCCAGAGTATTCGACATAAATTTACACATATCTTTCTTCTTTAATCTTTAATCCAGCTAGTGTAGAATGCAGCTGCTAAAATGGTAAACATGCCAGCCCTATGGAGCCATCTGACATCAGGCTTGAAAGCACAGTGACTGTCAGTGTGGGCCCAATTCAAGGTGTTAGTACTAACATATGAGACCCTACATGGCTTGGACCCAGTACCTAGAGGTGTCTTTCCCAGTATCATCTACAGTGGTACCTTGGGTTACATATGCTTCACGTTACAGACGCTTCAGGTTACAGACTCCGCTAACCCAGAAATAGTGCTTCAGGTTAAGAACTTTGCTTCAGGATAAGAACAGAAATCGTGCTCCAGCGGCGTGGCAGCAGCAGGAGGCCCCATTAGCTAAAGTTGTTAAGTACGGACCTCTGGAACGAATTAAGTACTTAACCCGAGGTACCACTGTATCTTGGATCCTAGAATCAGTAGTTGAGGGCTTGTTGGTACTGTTACTGTTATGTACTGAAGTTCTCACCCTGGGCCAGCAGGGGGATACTGTAGATAGTTTTCACTCAGGTCCACGTCAGTTATTTTAGACGGGAAACCCTGGGTTGTTGTTGCTACAATGTTGACAGCCCGCTGCCTATAAAAGCAGGCTGGCTGAGCTGTTTGCCGTTGAGTTCTGTCCAGCTTACAATAAAGAGCTGCTCTGGAGAAATCACTGTGTCGTCTGCTATGTCCGCCCACAACTTAACAGTTACCACACGGAGCTGCCTGTTTAACAATGATCTGTGACAGGGCCTTGTCAGGGGTGGCTCCCCATTTGCAGACTGCCTTTCTAAGTGAGGAGTATCTCTCATTACTGATTTGCAGGAGAATTTTTTATTTAAAAAATTCCAATTGACCCTGCCATTTGATGGCTGAAAGACATCCAGGTAACCCTGAGATTGCTGATGGGAGTATATTTTTAACTTTTTTAATAGAATGTTCATAAACTATTTTTAGTTTTCTTTTGTAATATATTCTTAGTGCTTGGTATGCTGCCCTGGGCTCCTTCGGGAGGATGGACAGAATATAAAATAAATAACAGTGACAACTGTTGCCAGCTTTGTCAGCTTCTGTACTGCATGTGAAACACAGCACCTGCAAGTCTGGTAATCTTTTGGCATCTTTTCCTACACCTCAGTCAGCAAAGTGCCTTAGTGAAGGCATGGAGAGGAATTGAAAATGTTTGTCCACAAAGTTTCTTCCTCAGTGTTCCTGGGGGCACAGACTTCCTTCCAAGTAACAGTGACCTTGGTGACATGTTGGTGAAAGGGGCCCACACCATAATGCTGGCAGTCCTTCTGGGTGTAGTAACTTCAGCAACTGGGCTTTTCCACAGCCAGTTCTCCTCAGCAGGAACTGTGGCACTTTTGCAAAGACGGCCATTGCTCTCTCAAGGCACAGCCTTCTCAATGCCACATCCACCCACACCCTGGGTATGAGATAGGTCTCCTACTTCCCTACTAATAGACTAAATAACTAACAAGCTCTCTCAGTTGCCCTGTGATGTTTAGATAAAGGGGGATATAGAAAATAAACAAATGGGCCCCCCTTCTTCCCCCACCCTCTTCAACCTAGATGGGGCTGTCATTTCTTAAATGGGTCACAGATTGTATTGGAGAAATACAATTTATTTAACCAAATAATAGCAAACAGAAGTGTTCAGGGTAAACAAAAGAAAATACACAAGTGCGCCCCATATAAAGACTATAGTAAGAGAGGGCCTTGTAGTATAGTTAAAAAAACCACACAAAAAACCAGGAATTCTAGCTGAGGCCTAGTTAAGCCTGAACTCTGCAAGATATTTCTTCATCTCTGAGAGGCCTGCTTGCTAAGTAATTATTTTGAGATCTCCCTTTTCTCTCTCCAAAGTATACTGTTTGTCAACATTCATGTGGCCTTTTCCTTGTGCGAATCCCAAACTAATTCCTCCCCACAACTCAGGCTGTAAAGCATCAAGGTATATTTCCTATGGCTTGATGTAGGTTAACTGTAGATAAGACTTTCAGTACATAACAAAATCATTTTGCAGTTTGAACAAAGGGAGCTCGCGCTGAATATTTACTGGATGCTAGTGGGCATTTATGTCTTTTTTTAAATCTTTCCCCCCTTGCAATCTCATCTCACTAACTCCCTCACTCTTAGTTAGTTCTCTTTCCTCACACCCAACTCTAGCTCTAGCCCTGATAATTCTCCCCTCAGAGTGTATATAACTCCTCCTTTGCAGGGGTGCCATTTCTGGGTGGGGAGAAGAGGGCTTATCTTGCAAGGAAAGGAAACAGGTTACTCCAAACTAGTTTTCTTCAGGAAAGCAGAAAGACAATTGTAATAAATGGGCTTCAGGTTGATAAATGGCTTGAGTGCAGCACAATAAGCAGAATCACCTGGATTCTACCAGCTGAAGCAGTAACTGTGGTGGCAAAGCTGTAACCGGGTATTTTATTAATTGTATTTAAAGTTCTGAAACATTTATATACATGTGGTGTGGTGCAACTTCCCAAACATATCCTACATAAAAATATCCAGGAGATAGTGAGCTGCATTGACATTTAATTTCACTACTCAAAGGAATGGCTGCCACATGCACACAAATCTTCCTGCAGTGGCTTCACTATTTCATATGTTAATCTTAATTCATCTAGAGTAAGGACTTGTTGACATTATTAATGTTTGCTTCTTGCATTTTGCAGAGTATAATGGACAAAATAATCCCAACTAAAGCAATGAATTATTACATGCTTGATGCCAACAGATGACCATGTGGAAGCAATCATTAGGTGGTGCAATTTAAAGTTGTTTCCATGTGGCATCTACAATGAACAGGTTTATCTTCCTTCACAGATGTAAGAAATTAGATTAAAAGAGAGTGTTGGGCTGTGCTCATGACCTGGTTGCCAGAGGAACTAGGGAACACAGCCCAAAGAGATTGTCTTCACAGCTGCCAAAGATTAATCTAAAGAGCTACAGTAGGTGAGGTTCAAAAGAATTAGTTACTTTTTATTTTGCAAGTAGTTATAATCCTGGCAACAGCATTAGTAACTACTACACTGCTGCCACCTCCTTTGCTGTCACAACACACCAGTACTTAGGTAGTTTCCTGTTTTGCTTTTGTATGTTTAATGACTATATCACAGCCCATTGCTTGGGTAAGTGAGAGGGAATGAAACAATGAGAATTAAAGAATATCTTAATGTGCCTTGGAGAGGAGAAAGATCAAGAAACAAATGGTTGTATTCAGTTTTTCTATTGGTATGTTCTGAAGCTACACTCAACCAACTTCCAAGTCCTAACATTGCCTTGTTTCCCTAAACCAGGCCTAGCTGAATGGATTTTTCTGGAAAATGGGTTCTGAAAAAGAAAGTGCAGTTTCACAAAGGATACCCAATACAGCAGATCCAAAGGACATTGATTACAGGTAAGAATGTCGACTTCTTGTATTCAAACCTCCTCTTCATTGTAATAGTACTGATAGTACACCATTGATATGCATGGCACTCACTTTACAGGTCCCTGTCCCACACAGCTTACAATCTAAATTTTAACAAAGGGAAAATAGAAAGGGGAAGAGAAGTGAGATAAACTTGCCTCTAACAGGGAAACAATATATGCTAATGCATTTTTCACATACTGGGACTTAGCTTATATATGGAATAAGTACTAAACAATCCCTTAGATACATATCCTTTAGATATGCCACTTCACTATAATTATATGAAAACAGTGTCTTTTAAAAACTAATAATATGGTTGCTTTTTTAGTAGATTGTTGATTCTTTCTTGTGTTCAAATGCTTCACTTTGGATGATTTGGAATGAGAAAATCTGTTTTGTTTTGTTTTTACAACCCCAGTATGTTTCAGATTATTCAACTGTAGTGTGTGTGTGTGTGTGTGTGTGTGTGTGTATCTATCTATCTATCTATCTATCTATGAATGAATGTGTATATTTTTGTAGCTTCAAGAAAACCAACATTGGGAATAATTGCCTAAATTTAAACGAGTCTATCATGACTTGAAATAAACAGTTTTAGTAGACCAGTTCAAATTCTGCATTTGTTATGTACTGCAATATTTGGGAAAAATAGTGAGGGTAATTTATGTTGTCCTCTCCCCTCCCCCTACAAAAAATATATTAGAGGGTTTGGGATATGAATCTGATTCCAGGCTCTGGAATCTGATTTGGAATCTGATTCCAAAGACCTAATGTCACTCTGTTTCCCGAAAATCTGCCATATGGGAAATATTTACCATCTGTTCCCAGTTGTTAGTATCAGTTATACTGATTGACTATTGTTTGCTTTTGGCTCTCATGGACAACATGTCCAAACTGGATGACAAAAAATAGTGGGGAGAGGGGATAGCACAAATTAAAATGGCAAGTTCTTCATTCACAACGAGTCCCTCATTAAACTGTGTGTAATGAAACACTGATGTCATGACAGTCCGATTCTGCAGTTTGTGAGTCCAAAGACTGAAAATATTTTGAAAGGTCATGTGAATAAAAACTAAGAATTCTGTTTAAGAATTTTTCTCATTATAAGCTAGTACAAATGCTGGAATACAATACACAGTAGATTTTTCCATCTCTTCATCCAACAACAGGTGATGGCTGGGAGTGGGAGGAACAAAATATCTCGTGTTAGTTCAGTGCATGCTTCTTGGACATGTGGAATACTGCTGTGGTCTGCTGTGTCAACCTCTCCTGCACAGTTGAAGCCCACCATAATTGAGGATGAAAGAAATGGAGTTGGGGGTGGAGGTTGAGAGCCAGCCAAATCCATGATAGGTTGGCTATTGTGGATATGCTGGTACAGTACTAGGTAGGGAAAATACTGTAATTCAGAACTCAAAATAAAAATATATGAAGTGTTACTTGTGGAGTTGCATACCATTAGACTACAGCTTCAAAATGGTGTTTGTTTCTATCGTTTGGTACTATTAGGTTGAAATCCTAAACATGCTTACAGTAGGCTTTACTTCCTAATAAGCATCATATGATTGTGCAGTTCTGGAATCATCTGTCTCAACAGACTTTTAATAGACTTTACTGGTTAAATTAATCAATACTAAATATACATTAATTATATCTCATATGCCACTGAATAAAGATGCATAATATATGATGTAGGTTTTTCCTTTAGCAGTTACTTTTTCTCCTTCAGCCATGAAATATGAGACTCTTTGTTATATAAAACATAGCTCTTGCAAACTTTTCCTTTAGACTTGCCAGTGATAGATGATTTAATTCTTTCCAGTTACACAGTTGGTTGGGAAGAAATTTCTTGCATGTGGTACATAAAAAGGACAGATGGGTATGATCCTAGAGATGTGTGTCCCTTTTTACAACTGCTATGAATATTTTTAATACAAGTTCAAGGGATGCATTAATTACTTGAAGTTGTACCTTGTGATGTGCCATTTGTAATTTACTTTGTTAGACATTCATTTATGCTTGAGTTGTAGTTCTTTTGCACCTTTGAATGACCATTCCTCATTCTTTAGACACAGCTGTTATGGTTTAAAAAAGTTGCAAAACTGATAAACCTTGCTGTGCTCCATCCTCATTCCTTTTCTGTTGGACTTTCAATAATACCATGGAGTTCACATAGACAGTACTGCAAAAAAATCCCCCAGGAACTGTTTCTTTGGCCTTGAATTGGTCTTATGCATTATAGTTTCCGTTTCTTGCATACAGTCATATAGCAAACATTTTCTATATTTCTGACACAGATTCTTAATAGTGCTTATCAGCATATTTTATATATGGGCAATGCCAAAGAGATGGGAATATTAGTTTACTGTGGCAACTTAAAGGCAAACTAATTTAGACTTTCATGGGCAACAGCATGGTATAAGTTCACAGACTGGAAAACCTTATGCTGTTATGTATTCTCTTATTCCCCTCCACAACACAAAAAGCCTGTTAGGGCTTGGGTCATTATGTATATCTTCAATTAGCTTCTTATCTAGAGCAGGATTGCCTTTGGGTGGCAAGGTCATCAGTTGCTTCTGTTATAGCCCTATAATCTTGGACAGGACAATGATTGGCTTTCCAGAATAGGGCTAGGAAACATGTAAAATTTGCAACTGGAGAGAAAGGAACATGGTCAAATGTTCAAAACTAAATATATGACAAAAACTAATTAGTGAGTCACATTTCTTTATTAATATCATCATCATCATCATCATCATCATCATCATGTAAAGTTGTTTGACTAAAAATAAATTACTATGGCTACTGTGGCTCTAGTTATGTATAATTTAGCATGCAAATCTACTTTTTCGGATGGTAAAGATAACATTCACCAAGTAGAGATGAACAGATTTGTCAATTTCAGTTCCCGTTTCTCATTTTTCCAATTTTAAGTTCAGTTTGCTCCATTTCTATGTCAGTTTACATTTGGTTAAATAAAGCCTACACAAAAATTTGAACACAGTTCATGTGCATTTCTCCTAACAAAATCATTTTTTGCAGTTTTTCTTTGTGCACTTTTCAATAAACATATACCTAAGGCTGCTTCTGCTGTTCATGACCAATGATAAATGAAATGTGTTTGTACCAATGCTAGTGTTTTAGGGATGTACATAACTTGCATTCATCTTCTTATAACTCTTCCCTCAAAATCCCTTAGATGGTTTGCTAAGGTATACCTTGAAATTTCTTACAGGTGGAATTTACTGGCAATTCTGCTGGTATATCATGAGGGAATAGTACAAGTAAGAAAGTACATGTTTAAACATCACTGCTGGTGGAAAGCCATGCTCCATGCATATGGAGCTTCTGAACTGTATGATTTTACATGTTCATTTTTGTAAAGAGAGATGTTTGGCCCCATTCTAACAAAATGAAGCAGTGTTGCAGCTGTTAATGTCTTCAATATAACACTTTCCGTGAATGAAGAGGGTGGGAAAGAGATTTCTGCTACTTATTTTTATCATTAAACATGCTATCTGGCATCTACAGCAATGCTCTTTTTTAAAAAAAAGATAACAAAATAAGCAATTATATATTCTACTTTTGCTTAATATGTGAAATGTACTACACCTGAATCTGCAGGCCAATATGTATAGAGTGTAGAAGAAGAATGCCAAAACTTTTATTGAACCCACAGCTAGATAATACATTTGAGTAGCAAAAGCATCGTCTTAATAGAGTGACATTTAAAATAATTGGGACAGGTTGGCTGTACCAAGAGAGTATTTTTGAGAAAGAAAAAGAAGTGATGAAACACTAAAAATCAAAAATCAGACTCTATGGGGGGACAGTATAATTGACAGAAAAACACCTGGAAGTTCTAACAAGTTTAATGCCAGCAAAACCTGTTTACTAACGCAATAATGGTAACACTAAGCTGTCCTTAAATAACAACAGCATGAAGAAGTCGGAAGCATAACATGAGGTCAAATGGAATTGGAGGTTTGATTTCATTGCCATCCAGGCGGAGATAGCGGAGTCGTGGTAAGTTCCTCTCATAGACATGATCCCCCGGGATAGGAACTGGACATATTTGGGTTCCATTAATACCTAAAACAAAACAACAAAACAAGTGCATAAGAAAAGTGGTTGGGAGTCATCGTCCTCCCTCCCCACAAAAAACTCCCCAAGTAAATATTTCAAATATGATCCTGTAAGATTAGGACTTGTTGGGAAGCCAGAGGAATCACAGTTTAGCATTTGTTTCCTTCTATTTTTTTATCATGGAAGATGAGAAAGGTAACAGAGCAAATTAAAAGTGGCTGCTGCTCAGCAGTCACCAGGTGATGAGGCTGCCTGTTCCCTCTTAAAACTTGGCAGTATCTTCTTCACCCCTTGTGAGGAGTGGTGTCTAGTCATTTTGATTTGCCTGGGATTTGAGTTTTCTAGCGTGATTGTTCTTTGAACTAGAAGCTCTTAGTGTTTCCCATCTGTAAAATGGGTAAATTGTTTTTGGAAACAATGCCTAATTCTGTAGTGCTATGATGCATGTGTGTGTGATAATGTGACTCGATGTGTGATTTGTGGTTAGGCTCAGTAGCTTATGGTATGCACTAATTGTTTCTGTTTTATTCTTGTGATGCAATTGCAGTCTGGTTTGCATTAAGCTGATCTTTGTTGGCCTAGTATCATGCTTGGATGATAAGGGATGATAAGTTTAATGGTAAGGGATCTGCCAGCACACAAAATATCTGTGTACCTTAGGTCAGGGATGGGGACCATTCTTCTGTTAACATGTATATTCCTTCTGCGGCAATCTATGGTGAATTGTAAATCATTATTGTGTGAATCCATCCCTTTGGCTGTTCCTCCAGCTCAATCCTCCTCCTCCTCCTCCTCCTCTTCCTCTGCCTGGGGGCTTCCATAGCCACATGAAGTTAAGCTATGGGCCACAGAGTCTGCATTATTGTCTTAGGTGAGCAGAGCATTCTGTGGGCTCTGCCCTCTCTCTCCAGTTAATAAGACCCATCTATATTTTACTTTGGATTTCTAACCATGTGCCAGAATTTGTTTTGTGGGAGCTGACCCTATGTTCCTTGTACTTGATCCTCATCCCGTTATATGTGATCACAAATATGAATGCTGAATGCCTAAAGTCCAGAAGTGAATGCTTCCATTTTCGAACGTGCCTTGGAAGTTGAATGGCTTCCGAGGCGCATTTCTCAAGTTTCCCCAATGAATTTGCTGACAGACCTTTGGTCCTTGGTTTTCGAACATTTCGGAAGTCAAACGGACCTCTGGAATGGATTACGTTCAAAAACTGAGGTTAGACAAAATAGGGCTTAGTCACTAGCCAATGGAATTTACAGTTTAGATCAAATGTACAGAACTTGTATTTCTGAAATACAATAGGTTCTCATTAAACCAGAGCTGGTCTGGTTTCTTGTTGCTTCTAATACCTATACACTTTTGGACTTGTGAATGCGTGTGTGTGTGCATGGGCATGTGTGCACAGCCCTGCAACATTTGTGCTATAAATGGGAGGAGTGTGGGGGAGGGGTATTTCTGTGGAAAAACTTCTGTCTGAGATTGCTGATATGCACTTACTGTCGATCCTGTTGTTGTCAAGGTAAAGGTGCTCGAGGTGAACATTGATAGATGGGATTTTGGTGAGTTCATTGTAAGAAAGCTGAAGGTCAAGAAGAGATGAAATGTTAAATATTTTGGATGGTAGACCTTTATCGGTTAATTTATTGTTGTTCAGTCGAAGGAAAATCAGTTTGAGCGTTGCATCAAAATAATTTTCTGGTATTGCTTCAATGGAGTTATTGTCCAAAAACAGCTGTATTACATTAGCTGGAGGGGTTGGTGGCATTTTTGTAAGTGAATTTTGAGCGATGTTGAGTAGCATGAGGCTGTTAAGTCCTTGGAAGGTGTCACTTGAGAGAGTACTGTCCAACAGTTTGTTTTGATGTAGATCTAGCGCAGTGAGGTTTTCCATATTGTTGAAGACCCCTGCGGGGATTGTAGCGATTTTGTTTCTTGCCAAACGCAGCTGCTCTAAACTCAATGGCAATGGAGCAGGCACTTCTTCTAACTCATTATTCTCAAGAAATAAGTAGAGTAGATTTTTCAAGTTGCCGAATACACCCTTTTCAATTCCATTGCTGGTAATTTTGTTGTTGTTCAGATTTATCCATTTTAGTTGTGTGGCATTCACAAAAGATTTCCCTGTAACTGTTTCAATGAGATTGTTTTGGAGGTAGAGATACCAGATTCTTGCTGGGATGGCTGGAATTTCTTTAAGTTCCTTGCTATCACAATATAAGGCGTTTGGGAAACTAGGAGGGCAGAAGCATTCTTGTGGGCACTCAAAGCTGTAGAAGGACCAGTCATATGTATCAGGCTGATCATACATTGGCCTGATATTACGAGTCCACACGGTATTGGTCAAGAAGACTACCAATAGTCTGGAATACAATTGTACATTCATAGTTAACCTTGGAGAAAAGGGGGAAACAGTTATAAGAAAGAATACATCTCCATAGTATCTTTTTATGAAAGCAACAATGTGCATTCCTTTATAAGGGTGAAATGCTGCCTTGCATGGTGTCACAACTTTTTTCAAGAGAAAAAAGAGGGGTCGTATCTTAAATTCAGGGGGAACTACAAGCTATGACTCTAAGAATAGTATGTGTCAATCTGGATTTCATTCCTTTTCTAGATAGTGTGAGCACATTCAGTTCATGTTTAAAAGAAGCTAGAGACAGAGCTTGCTTCTCTTACTGAATTTCACAAACATTTAAAAACTTGCCTTTCTCTTATTGAATTTCACTAACATTTAAAAACTTGCCTTTTTCCAAACTAGGGAAAATATTTCACGTGCAAAAATCCCAACATCACCCAAAACAGAGGTGGCATACAGTGACTGACATAATTGCCTTTATTGACTGCTATCCAGTCCTAGTTTGGTCCTCCATGAAGAAACTCACATCTTCTTTTGTACTCCTAGATGAGAAGGCATATGGATCTGATTTTCTAGGCCTGGTTCTCATCACACACAAGAAAAAGATCAAAGAATATTTTAACAGCTGCTTGCTGGGTATGTTCCCTAGAAGTCTAGAGAGCTCTGTTTGAAAACCTACTCCTCTTCTTCAATCGCTCCCCTGTGCCCCAAATTATTGGCTTTCCTATTTAAAATGTAAATTACTTAGGAAACAAATTCTCTCTAGAACTTCACTTTTATTGCTTGGCCACATATTCAGATTTCTTTGTCCAGTTCTTTTTTAAATTGTTCACATTAAAACTAACATTTTCCATAGCTATACATTTAAAAACCTAACATGCAAGCCAAGTTACTACAATGCAGTAGTAATTATACAGCAACAGTGCATCCCAAATTTTTATGTCTGTCTTGGTTTTCTAAAAGTATATATAACATTTCAAAAGAAAGAAAGAAAATAAGCCGGATAAACTGGTGCAGAAAGGTTGGGGGTTTTTTTGGGGGGGGGGGCGAAGTATTAAAGAAAATCATAAGTCATAAGGATCACTAAATCAAAGGGAAAACCAATGCCTTCCATGGGTTTTGGGTTTTTTTTTAAACGGCTGCTTCTCTAAGTCATCAATTCCAACAGCTGAAAAGAGCTAACAGGCTTTGAAACTGCTGTCCACAAAATAGCAGAATACTGCCTGAAGTAATAAAAGAGAAAGAAGAGCAAGTGAGAGAAACTAAATTATTTCCAGAGAATGTTATACTGGATTTAGCACAATGTCTCTGACATCTTTCTCTTACAAGAAATATATACCAACATTGTTATAATGAGTAACTGAAATATTTTACCTTGTACAGGTTAGGTGATGATTTCTGGTGGCTGTTGGAAATCATTTAAGTACAAAAGTCTTTGTTTCCTTTTAACATTATTTGTAGTCTGAGCTCTTGTAAATTTGTAGCATAAAACCCTAAATATACAGCAGTAATCCCCAGACACATTACCCAAGACACCTAACATTCTGTTGTTTCTAATTTGACAATGCTTGAGAATCTAGCTTACCTCAGCTTTCTTGGATTCTCTTCTGTTCTTCCTATTGGTCACTGCGGTTAGACTGTAAGAGGTTGACTCAGGCAACACGCAGTGTTTTATGAATACAGCCTAATATATACGCATCAATGACTACAATTGTTAACCCTTAAAATAGCTATGCACCTCAGCACCTTCATGCTAAAGTACAGGAAATCCTGGCTTTCACATCAAACAGTTGCAGCCCTTAAGGTCATTCCCAGAGATGTTAAACTCAAGTTTTAAAAGAATGAATAGACTGGGCAAAAGGAATCATTACTACATATATAATAAAATGTTAATAAATCATTTTCATCTTAATTAGGGAACAAAGCATTAAAACTAGTGCCATCTGTTCCTGCGGAAACCTTTTATTTGATTATGATCAAATACAGATGCAGGAATGTTTTTAAAGATATGATTCTTGATTAGGAAAAGTAAGTAAGATTATTTGCTAAGAAATTCTTTCATACTCTTAGAATAGTTTGATATAATTTTATGCTTATTCTGCATATGTTATTTTTGAATAACTTTCCAGAAATGGAACTGACTTTCTGCCACCTGATCTAATTTTTATGCTAATTAGTATTAAGCATAAAGAGTTTTGCAGCGAGAAGCATGTGTATCCCACATGATACTAAAAATAATAATAAAACAAAACATAAAGTGGTCTCCAGATTTGAAGAATCTTTTTGCTTTGAAATTGGCTGATGCAACTACTAAAGTGGGGTAGGAGGTAGTCATTGGAATGGTGCCTCTATGCCGTTACTGATGTGCAACAACTTGCCTGTAGTGTTCTGTTGGGGCACAAGGCACAAGTATCAATAGCACTAGCATGGTACTCGCCCAACCTCCACCTGCCACTTGCAAGGGCGCATGTTTCTCTCTGCTGTTGGCCAATAACCACAAGCAGATTTTAAGACAAAAACATTACCAATCTAACAACCTGACTACTTGTCATTTGCAAAACAATTTTTTTTAAAGAAACTGTGACTGAAATATTGACAGCAAAATGTGTTTCTGCTTAATTAGTAGGACTTGGGGTGGAATTCAGTGTTGGGCTAGTACAAGTGTTCTGCCTGTACAAGCCTAGCAGCTTGCTATCCCTCTCTACCCACTGCGTGTTATTCTGGGGGTTCTCTTACTCCCACCCACCCCCAACCCAATTTTGATGGGCGGGGAGGGCACTGGGGAGGAAACATTCTTGCTTAGGGTTTTCAGTGCTGGAGCATGTTGGGTCAATCCCTCCATTGGTATCTAAGTGCTCCTGTAATGCAAAACAGTTTTAGTTCTAACCCTGTGGCGTTTTGGTTTAATAAAACATATAATTACAATGTTTTATAGCATTGAGTTCTTCATTCCTCAAAATAGTAGTGATAAAGGAAGAAAGCCAATGACAGGTGTCATAGAAACACTTTCAATGTGATCCATGGAAAGTGTGCTTAATTCTACAATCAGGAACATGCTTACTTGAATTCCATACCCACTGTGTGATTTAATTTCCCAGGTCAGGGTTTTGGGACTTGATTGTTCCCATTAGAACTTGTAGAATGTTTGTGCATCTTTAAACGGACAAGTTCCATGGATTCTAGTGGGGTTAAACTATGCCTAATCTTTCTTGTATTCAGTAATCTTTATTGTATTCAGTTTAATCAGGGAATCATAGAATTGTAGAGTTGAAAGGGGATCCTAAGGGTCCTTTAGTCCAACCCCCTGCAATGCAGAAATCTAGACTAAAGTACCCATGACAGAATGCCACCCAACCTCTACTTAGGGTTTCCAGCCTCTGATCATCTTGCTCACCCTCCTCTGCACAGGTTCCAGCTTGTCATTATCCTTCTTAAATTGTGGCACCCAGAACTGGACACAGTGCTTCAGGTGTGCCCTGACCAAAGCAGAGTAGAGTGGTGCTATTATTTCCTTTGATCTGGACACTATACTTCTGTTGATGCATTAGAATAGTATTAGGGTTTTTTGTGGGGGGGTTTTGCTGCTGCATCATACTGTTGACTAACGTTAAACTTTTTAAAAAATCAAACCCAAAATGTGATCATAATATGGTGCCTTGCATGCACTGTATAGAGAATCATTCATATTTGCACCAAGGAATTGTGCAAGCTTTTGCAAGGATGCAGAGTAAAAGCCAGACTAAATGTGACATTAGGAACACAGGAAGTGCCATATACCTGTTGGCCCATCTAGCTCAGTATTGCCTACACTGATTGGCAGGGGTAGAGAGAGTTTCAGACAAGAATCTTTCCCAGCCCTATGTGGAGATGCCACAAACTGAACCTGGGGCTTTCTACATACAAATCCATGATCTCTTCCACTGACCTGCAACCATTCCCTAAAATGCATATTTGAATTTAACACGCACTGCTTCTTTTTTTTAAATGCAAATAGCTGCTAGGTGGTAGTGTGTGATCACTGTCAAAATTGAAGCATGTATGGAGGGATTTTTTTTAACCCTTTCTTGTTTTGATCTTGAATAAAATAGCTACTCTGAAGCTCCTAATAGAAATACGGTTTCGGAATAGTGATCTTTCTCATAGCTGCAGCAGGGGAGGAAACAGTTAAATTCACACTTCACACATGCTGTGATGCATCCTCTCAACAATGGGTTCTGTTTGCATTTTTAAAATTTGCACATAAATGCAAATACACTTTTAATGTCATGTCTGGTTTGACACATTTAACACAGGTTTGTCAATTGTCTATTTTACATACCCTCATCTTTATTAATAAGGAACACTCTAGTTTGAGCCTCTGGGCATATTCTTGAGGGAGGAGGCAGCGTTGTAGTCTAAGTTGGAAGTCACAATGGAAAAAACAATGGAAGTTTGCAGAATATGTACAGACACCTAAGATGTTATGTATTGTGATAGCTACACATTCCGGACAAATATACATTCATTTAGTGCAATATAAACATTTCTAATAAGCAGACTATTGTTAACAAATGACCGCTCCCCACATCAAATGGGGGTGCCTTCTATGTGATCACGTGCAGCCCCCCCCCCCCCCGGATCCCAGTGCGACTCCTGGTAGTTCGGGCTGGCTTCATCCTCCCCAGGCTGGATACCTGGAGGTCTCTGCCCACCTCAGCCAATCTAGATTAGGGTCATCATGTAAGGGTGAAAAAACCCTTTTTCTGTAGAAATATGGGATGCCTCAGTAACATATGTATCAGAAACTGACTGCAACATGCACATTTTTTTGTGTTGTTAGATTAGAAAAACTAAATAAAAACATTTATTAGAAGGAAGCAGCAGAGCAAAATGTTCTAAGGACAACCAATCAATATGCCCAAACTTTTACAAAAGAACTCAGTCAAGGAAAGAATTGGAGGTGAATGCTCCCACTTCAATTTGTATTTGGAGCACATCCAAACAAGTTTAATCTGAAGTGGTCTGAACCAAAGCAGCTGGAACTGCTTTGGAGATTTGGAAAGGTTTTCATTTTTAGGGTCCTTCCTCAGGTTGATACTTTGATGTAGCTCCCACATTTGACTCGGGTGTTATCCATAAAGTGAAAATGCGAGGTAGAGTGGGTGGGGTGTAATTCTGTGACAGACAGCTTTATTTTCCAACCAGGGAATAAGTTTACCAGGGCTATCCCCCCCCCCCCGCTTCCTGTCACAATGCTTTTGGAAGGATGTAAACGACCATGATAAAATACTCTTCTTTGCTCTTTGTGACTGGCAGCAGCAGTGCACAGGGTGTTTGTGGCTCCCAGAACTGTTTTGAGAATCATGACTTACAAAAAATAAGACATTTTAGTGGCTCTTTTGCCATTAGTATCACATTAAGCACTATTAAGCATAGTATTTTATTTTTAGTACATCTGCTTTGCTAGAGAAAAAGTAGCTTAAGTAACTTTTCCTTACACTGAATTAGGTCTCTCTCAGTAGGTGATTTTCCTGCCATCCTATTTGAGATTTGCTTAAAAAAACTACAACCTAGAGATGCCAGGATTCAACCAGGGACCTTTGCATGCCAAACATGTGCTCTACCATTGAGCTACAACCTCTCTACTACCAATTTGAAGGGTAACATCAACAGGCAGGAATGAAAAATAAATTAGAAACACAGTTGTATAGAAACTTTAGCTATTGTTTTATCAATTTGGCTGTGATATTGACCAGCTTTTTGGGAAAAAATTATTCATTGTTATTCTAAATGAAATACCAAATCTGGTTTGAATTTGTGCTTTTATGGGCTTGTCTAGTACTTGTATCTAGCAGATGGATTATTTAGAGGAAAATGAAGCCACGAGGCTCTTTTACAGAGTCTGGGACTTGAGAGTTCTAAAAAAATGTATCCATCATACACTAGAAGCAGAGGCAGCTGGTATTAAAAGTGTGGATTCTACATCATCATCATCATCATCATCATCATCACTTAATTATTAAAAATATCTCTAAGCAGGGTACAAAAAACTGAAGCAACAACAGACAGCTTAAACAAAATATTACAAAAATACAATTACCTATAAAATGTACATCCACAAAAGTCTCACAGCAAGGAGTTCATGGAAACAGCAAATATCACCCTAGTTATCTCACTCTACTTGTTTTTTATGGGCAGGCCTAAGGTAGATGGTACTTCCTGAGGCTGCCAACAGCTGTGTCCCACTCAGCTGCATTCTCTACACTCTGTTCCAGGTACAGAAGATTTATTGAGTTTCCCAGGGGGTCCTAAGGATGGGGAAAGGCACTCCCTTCACTCACAGCTCTTTCTTCACCCTCTGTTTCTCCTCCTCCTCCTCCTCCAGATCCCATTGAAGCAGTTAAACCACCATAACTTATTTGTGTCCACCATCCTTAAGCTCTTCCTACCTATTCTACCAGAGGTCTGCCAACAGAAGTTCCACTCATTTAGCCACAACTGCTAAATGATTCAGAGGGAGTACACTTCTGGATGCAACATACAAGTGACAAAGAGGCGTCTTTGGAGACGGGTTCATTAGGGTGAA